AAAAAAAAAAAAAAAAAAAAAAACGAAAAAAGAAAGAAAAGCAAACAAACACTTAAAAAGCAACAAGCTGCCTAAAGTATGCATTCACAAAATATTTCTAGGCAGAGAATTATCCATAAAGCAAGAGTGGAACCCCAGAATATTCTGAGACAAATATGCCCTGACACAAAGCAATTATCTTTTAATGAAATAAACAGAGGTAAAAAATACTATAACCATCATTTCATCAGTAGCAGTGGCTCATAGCAGTTTGAAGATATGGACATGGGGTTAGGCATGTATGAGACTGTGTAAGACTCTTGGGACATGGGTATTACAGATGTGACACCATAGTACATGGATGGTGTTTCAAAGGACATTTGCCCTTTTGGAAATTCCTAAGGTAGTATGGAAGCTGAGAGGAAGTTGAGCTGCTTAAATTTCAAAATAGACTCACCCAAATTTATCAGCAGTAGGAAACAAAGAATTCTAATATATTTCTTATGTTGTTAGTACTAACAACTGCTCATTTTACTTGTTTCCTAGTTGTTAGGAAAGTTAAAAAACAACATAAAAGCCCTCAGAAAATTTTGTGTATATTTTACAAAGAAAAGGGGAAAGAAGAGGGGAAATTAGTAAGAACTTACACCCATTTTCTTACGGATAAATTTTAAACTCCTTCCCATAGCAATTGAAGACTATTGCTAATTTGGTCATAACCACTCTTTCAGCACCAGTTCCTAAACCCAGTTCCACAACTGTTGCCTCAGGCACTTTTAATACCATAAGCAACAGGCTGTAGCTATCTGTACTTCCCTGCCTCAGGACATCTTCACTTCTTGTTGTGCATTATGGTACGTTATTTCTCCATCTCATGGAATGTGATCATTCCAGGACACAGTACAATGTTAAATACAGTGTGAAGTCTGACTCTCACAGGCAGGTAAAGGCTGGCAACTCTGAATTCCCCTGAACTGTTCATCTCTGTAGTCCCTGTGGGTAGGGCTCTGCCTTATTCACAGAAGGCCTTAGAATCCTCTCAAGCTGACTCAATAAATGTTTGAAAGAAGTAAGTTCCATTCGGCAGAAGGCTAGATGCAGACTCTTGGTGTTAAGAGCAGGGGTAGAAATGGATCAGAAAGTATGGAGGTAGAAGTCTCAGTCGAACAAGAGAAAAAAGGGAAAATGTGAACCACACAGAGTCAGACTTTGTGCATTTATGCCTTATGCAAGTGCCCATGGATCCCCAGACTCGAAGTTCTGTCATTTGATGGGCTGCTTCTCCCTGTTCACTGCACAGTACTGATCAATTACGATTGCTCTAATGTCATTCATTCTGGCTCTAATAACACTTCAAAGAAGGCCATTTTAACAAAACAGAAAACTTACCTTTAGTCATCTCCCATAAAACGATTTCCAGTAAATTAAATAATGAACGTCCATCTAAAGTCAAACTGTCAAAAAATTTCATAAATATAAAATAAACCTACCAGCATAGTAGTTTAAATACACTACCTGAAAGAGTAACGATTCCTCTGGGTTGAGGCTGAAACCGCAAATATTTGTTACAAAAGTCAGCAGATTCAAGGGCCAAAAACAAAACGTTGCCCAAAAAGTAGCCCGCCGTCTGGCCCACCGAATTGCAAGTAGAAGCATAACCCACGTTTTCCCGGGATAACATAGTTAACGCCCAACCATCCACAGCGATGTCCTGAGTGGCAGCCAGGAACTCAAATAAAAAGAATGTCACAGTGAGAGCAACCACATCAGGTGTTCTGCCATCGGTATTCCCGAGCAAACGGTCCACCTGAGTGGATAAATAGATCATGAAGAATCCTAGTATATACTGTGTAGGGACAAGCCAAGATTTGCGACGACCAAAGTTCTTGAAGTAAACCGCATCAACCAATGGGGCCCAGAGCAACTTGAGACTGAAAGGCCAAAAGACAAAACTGAAGAAAGCTTGGTCTGTATAGCTAACATTTTTGCTCTGCAAAATGAGTGGAATGCTTCCCGCTAAACCCAAAGGAATGCCCTGAAGCACGTAAAGAAAGAGCAGTAGCAGAATGCTGCTTAGTTCGGCTCGGCAGCCCCGTGGGGTTTTTATGAAGTCATCAACGCCGGTGTCCCTCAGAAGAGCTTCTCTGTCCCCTTCCCCGCCCACCGAGTCCGCACGACTGTCATCCCAACTGCCTGGCGGTAGAGGACCGCTTTTCATATCCAGAGAGTGGTTGAAAGTCCCCGGCCGCCGTTGGCGACTGTTGTCCTTATGGGAAACGGTGGGTGACATGTCAGAGACGACGCAGAGCTCCGTCTGTGGGGCGCCGGGGCTGCACGTTTTGGACGCGTCTAGTCCCAGGTCCAAGGCTGTCGCTCTGGACCGGGGATTCGGTGGCTCAGGGAGGCGGGCAGGGAGAGAGGCAATGAGAGCACTTCTTAGTGCAGTCCAAAGTGCTGAAGCCGGGAGCCAGTCCCCTGGCTGGAGGCCCAGGCGATGCCAGGGTAGGTGCCCCTTGGAGCAGCGTCAAGGAGTCTGAAGGAGCCCCCCGGACAGCCCTGCCGGGCTGGAGGCCGGAGGAGGGGGCCGTGGTGCTGCAGTGGAAATCGGCCCCTAGCCTCTGCGAGACGGATCGGCCCGTCTGCCCACCCACCTCCAGCTCTCGGCGTAACCAATGAGGTAGCCAGCACTTTCTTCACAGGACTCCAGAGGTACCAAATAACTTCCTGCCCGCCGCTTCAGGAAGTGGTCCCTGCTCAATCAGTCTCCGCCTCCCCAGCGAGCCAATCAGGACAGGCTCCAGTGGGCCCGACTTCGGAAATAACGCTTCTCGGGAACCCACAAGTCTGGCAGCCGGAACCCTCGGGGAGGATTAACGCCGGCGCACCGCGCGGCCGGGGCGGGGCGCCTCGCGAGCTCAGGCTCTGTGAGCGCAGGCGGCTGTAAGGAAAGCGTGGGCCTTCGTCATTGGGCGCCAGCGGCCACGTGACAGTGGGCCGTCCCTAGCCCGCGCTGGCGGCCGAGTGTTAATTTCTGTGCGGCGTCAGAAGCAGCTGTGACAGTAGGTTTGGTGGTTGGGCCGGAGAAAGGCAGTACCTGGACTCCAAATTAGGAATTGTGCGGTGTTGCTGCTTTCGTGGGCCGGAATGAAGCAGGGAGGAGAAGTTTATGTATAAGAAAGCAAAGGCGACGTCGCTTTATGGCCCCAAAAGATTTTCACTGAAATTAAGGCTTTTGAGGCAGAAATTATTTGATAAGGGCTTATTGAAAACCAGATGCAAAGACCGACAGAATTGGGCGTGCTCCGGAGTCTGTCACAGGTGAAAGGTTTTGATAAGAAAGTTTAGAAAAAGGAAGGGGGGACTCGTTAGAGTTGCCTTCTTTCCACTGGCGGGTACATTAGAGAAGCTACAATCGTTGGCTACAGATTACATCACACAGGCTAAAAATGTCTATGTACAATGCAACCAGTAGAACTTCATGCTTCAACTAATCTTAAATTCCCTTCTATTTAATGTCTTCAGGTTGTACATTGATTGTTGCACATCAGCAATTAAGGAACTTACCATAAGATTCTTTACATGGAAACAGAATGTCCTCGTCCGGTAACGTGACCTCCCCAAGGGAGAGTAAGCTGGAAGCCTGCTTACTGTCAAGTGTGACCAGAGCGTCAATAAGAGGTAGAAAAAGGCCTGACTAACTGGAGAAACATAGGCCTTCCAGTGCCTACGTATTTATGAAAGGATTGAAACTGCGCCACAGGTGCTAGGTTTCTCTGCAGTCCTTTTTTCCAGTGTGGTGGAAGAAGATAGGGGAACTTGGCAACCAACTCTAGGTTACACTGGCTGGTTGGATAAATTTTAAGATTCGTTACATCTGGCTGGGCGCGGTGGCTCACACCTTTAATCCTAGCACTCTGGGAGGCCGAGGCAGGTGGATTGCTGAAGGTCAGGAGTTCCAGACCAACCTGAGCAAAATCGAGATCCCCGTGTCCACTAAAAATAAAAAAGCTAGCTGGCCATGCTGGCGAGTGCCTGTAGTCCCAGCTATTTGGGAGGCTAAGGCAAGAGGACCTCTTGAGCCCGAGGGTTTAGGGTTGTACTTGATTTCTCTATACATTTCTCCCAGAGAAATTTGAGAGTCTGGTTAATTTTTTTTGAACAATAGGAAATGGCAACTGTAAAGTCCTCTTAATTTTTGTTAAAGAGAAGAACAGCTTAAAGGAAATAACAGTATCATTTAAGTGAGACCAATTAGGATTCAACCAAAATACCTGTGCATGGGGTTTAACTTGTCCTGGATTTAAGCCCTGCTCTAACAGTAATTATGTCTAGGACAGATTACTTAACCTAAGCCCCAATTTCAATGAATACAAAATAATATGAGTTAATAACATCTATTTCAGAGAGTTGAGAGTTAAAGAAAGCAGCCCATAAGGCCATGCACAGTGAGGAGGTCTTTTCTCCCCAAAGAAGTGAAAATATTTAATGTGTTTGTATTTCTTCTGATTTTTTTTCCTGATAGACTGACAGGAAATTGTGAATATATTAGACTGATCTACCCTTCACCCAGCTTTCCCCAGTGGTAATACCTTATATGTCAATATCAATAGACGTGTAGTGTTTTTATTGCTGAATAGTATTACATTATATGGATATGGCATAAGTGTTTTAGATAAGGAATCTTTTTTCCCAAATATTATATTTCTCCTTATATATAATAGTGATTTACCATTAGTGGTTATCTTTCAACCAAATGATAAATCTCTGTATCCATGTAGGCAAAATTTACAAGCAGCAGAAAAAATTACTGGAGCCATGGGGAGGCACCTGTGGCTCAAGAGGGTAGGGCTTCAGCCCCATATGCCAGACACAGGTGGCCAGTTCAAACCCTGCCCCAGCCAATTAAAAAAAATTAGGAAAAAAGTATTTCCTGTTAACCTAATTCAGTGTGTGCCACTACTAACCTTAAGGAACAAATAACATTATTTGTAATGTATAGAAAATACGTTATAGTTTTATATGTATGTTTGTTACATATAGTTTTATATGTAACACCATTTAAAAGAGAAAACAGGCTGGGCACATTGGCTCATGCCTGTAATCCTAGCACTTCAGGAGGCCCAAGTGGGTGGATTGCCTGAGCTCACTGGTTCCAGACCAGCCTGAGCAAGAGTGAGACCCTGTGTCTAAAAATAGCATTGTGGCTGGTGCCTGTGGTCCCAATGACTTGGGAGGCTGAGGCAAGAGAATCACTTGAGTCTAAGAGTTTGAGGTTGCTGTGAGCTATGATGCCACCATGGCACTCTACCAAGAGCAACAAAGTGAGACTCTGTCT